GCCATCGCAGAGCTGCACCCCACCTCTTTCTCCTCCGGCCACGTGGTTTTTCTTCCTCTTTCTGCAACCGCTGTTTAATCTCTATTTTGCACTGGTGCGATTATGCTTTGGCAGATGACAAGACCTGCCCGAAGAGGGGAGGAGAGCGGGGCTCCCCCCGCAGCCGCCCAGCGTGGGGTGCGCTGCTGAAATCCCCGATGGCCATGGGGAGGCTGTTTTGGATAGCACAGGGCAGGATGGGTCCCCCTGCCGACGGGGTGTCACGGGGCCACCTCAGGGTCCTCCCACCTGCCCTTTTGGCCAGCTAGCTCTGTGCAAAGGGCGATGCGAGAACCGGAGGGAAGGCGACGAGTCCCTAGGTATAAATAAAGAAGCAGAAGTCGGAGGGCTCTGGGGGACCGTGGGAACCGGCCTGGCCCAGCGGCAGCGCTGCCGCCCCGGGGCACTTCTCCCCGGCGTTCGCCCCCTCTGCGGCACCCGGATGCCCCGGCGGGCGATGACGGGGCTGAGCCCTGCGCGGAGGCACGGCCCCGGCACCAGCCCCAAGCGTGGCGGAGCTGGGAGTCGCCGACCTGGCGCTCGGGGGCTGCAGAGCCCCACGACCCTGTTTTTGCTCTCCTCCAGCCCTGGCTAGCAGGAAGCCAGACCCTGGGTTAGGCACCTCCAGGTGGTCAAATTCCACTCAAATCCTCTTGCTCTTTGGGATCCGAATCTAAATCTTTTCTCATTTAAAGACCTCGTGGCAGAGTGGGGAAAAGAGTGAGTTTGAGCAGGGCACTCAACCGTGAAACTAATGTGCAAGAGCTTCTGCAGAGACCTGCTGTGCTCAGTGCACATGTGGGAAGCTGCTCCCTGCCGCTTGGGGCTGTCGCACATACGAACAAGAGCTGTCTCCTGCACCCCATTAGGGATCTCACATCAGCAGCTTGGCAGCAGCAGACTCCGACCCGCAGCCCAGACCAAAAGGGGGGTCCCCCGGCCACGCGTCCTGCCTGTGCCTGGGCTCGGCGGCGTGGCGGAGACCAGGGAGACGTGCAGGCGACGGCAGCACAACACCCCGGGACGCACCTCGCCGTGCTAGCCCAGCCTGCTTTATTGAACGGGGC